AAAAGCTTTCTTTAGTGATGTTGAGAACGCACTTTTGGAGCACTGTGCGTATTCGCCAACTTGTAGACACTTCTCTCAAAACTTTCGACTGTGGAATGTTATCCAATACTGATTCCAGCTCGGAGTATGTGCTTTCTTTCGCATTGCCTGAAAGCAGTGCCGCAAAGTTCGTGCTTGGTGCCTCCATGATCTGCAACTTTGAGACATTGGGCAATTTAAGATATTGAGGATTGTCATATGTGACCAGGCGTGTGACAAAGCTTGGGGATTGTAGAAAGAGCCTCGTATTGCTGAGAATTCTACCAGCGGCTTTAGCAACTCCTGAAGTGTTGGGACCGTAAACGTTGACGTCTACAAGTAGGTTTGCAGAGCGTCCTGATTTTTTCCATTCGGCTCTAGCCTTCTCTAAGCTGGTACGCGATACAACGCCTTCAACCTCGACATTTGAAAGAGATGTTAGTCGTTTCAGGGCCTGCGAAATCTTTTGATTTAAGCATCCGAACCGGATGGCGTCGCGTATGTTCATCCAGAGGTAGCTACCAACAAATGTAGTTTCAAGTTCGACAAAATCGTTTCTTGCATGCTGAGATGAGCAATCCCTAAACGTAAGCGGATCTTCTCTGACTTGAAGATTCAGTTCAAGTAGCTAAGAATATCAGTGGATTGTGCTATATTAATCAGTTTTGGCCATAATCGTTACCGAGCCGTAACAAATATCCTCCGCATTGGTGGGCGCCTCAGGCTGATATGAAGAGCTTGTGGCAGAGACTTGGGGAGCATTGCGTAACCTTTCCTCATCAGGACTACTATCTGCTCTCCTAGAATTGGTATCTAGTGTGGGCAGATGATCATCTTCAGCAGTTATTAGTACTGGGTATCTTGAATGATTGCACCTACTTACATGATATGATTGAAGTGGCCCCTTCGCGCCGCTTTGATGCTTCTGATATGTCGGTAGGAGATAGTGGTCTCTTCATCGTCTTCTGGCCAATATGCTGGAGCTGTCTTTGGTCGCGTCTGCAAGTTGGACCCGAGCTTCAGTGCCGATGGTTTCTGGGGACACGCTGAGTCGCCGAAGTCCTTTTCACGTCTGATAGCCCCTTTTCAACCCTTCCAATCATTGGCCAATATGCATTCATGATGTATCAGATAACACAAGGCAGACACTCTAGGTGCCATTGGCGAGCAAGGCGCAGCTTTGGGGGCGAAAGTGGAGATGCGCATCCTGCGCACAGACCAGGCGTCATGTCCAGCTGCTCCTTCCTCTTCCACCTCCCCCTTCCACCACGACACTTTGATTCTCACTCTCCTTGAAAACGAGATGATAAGAATAAACACACGCAAAAACCTAAGGCTATGAATTCCACGACTTTTCACCTTGTACTGGAAAAGTTCAAGTCTGGCTTGAGTGAGAAAGAGAAGCGACAATTCGCAACAACCACGCTGGATGACGTCCATGTCGCTATAGAGAAGATTCAGCGCAAGCAGCAATCCGAAAAAAGGCTGCGCGCCATGAGTAAGCTAGAGTTATTCTTGGAGGGTATGAAGGAATACGAAAAAGTTGTGTCCGTCTTTCTCAACACAAGTGCGATCCTAGCGTTCGTTTGGGTACGACCCGCCGACCACAAAACTATTCACTTCTCAGGCTGAACTCGAAGCACTCAGGGCCCAATGAAATTTCTATTACAGGTACAAATCTTATTCAGTATTTTGAATCGCGCCGCATGAAGATCATTGTTCTCCAGTACGGTTTGAGTGCCCTCATGCCATCATACACAAAACAAGACATTGGTTGAGACCGACAAAGCCAAGAGTTCTGACTTTTATGAAGGTAGCCAGTACGTTTCATGAGGCCTTTGACGCCTTGCTGGATGCATATCAACGAATTGGCGAGCATATGCCTCTACTAGCCCAGTACGAAGATTATTTCCGCAATCATCCGCAGATGACTCGAGTGCTACGACTGATGTACGAGGACATACTGAAATTCCATTTCAAGGCAATGAAGTATTTCCAGAAGCGCAGTATGTGTTTCAAGTTTTCTTTCTCATCAGTATGGACACGGCATTGATAAAACGCAGTGTGGCAACAACTATTTCAGGCGCTCTGGAAAAGTTTTGACACCGAGTTCGCTGCTATACTCCGGGATCTACGCGAACACATGGCATTGATCGAATCACAGGCAACTGTGGCTCAGTTCTCTGAGATACTTGCAACGCGAACGCTTATCGAATTACAGTTTGATCGTGATAGAGAGAATGAAGTGCGCAAGCGTCGCATGGTTGTTCACCAGTGGCTCGCTGCAGCCAACTGTGGTGCTGATCAAGAGGCTTATGCCAAAGTGCGTCAAGAGCATGCAGGAACAGGAAAATGGCTTCTACAAGAGAACCGTTTTTGTTCCTGGTTCGACCCAATCCTCTGCTCAACACATATGCTATGGATGAACGGCATTCCTGGGGCAGGTTAGTTCGTACCAAGACTTACCGGAATCTTCGCTCATCATCAAGATAGGAAAAACTATTCTTACCTCTTTAGTTGTTGAGGAAGCTATGAAGCTGCCAGATGTCCACGTCGCGTTCTTTTACTGTCGTTATCTGGATAGTGAACGCAATACGTTTCTTGCGGTTGCACGCGGCATCCTATCTCAACTGCTCTTTCAAGATGACGCTCTATTGACTTATATCTACGAGAAAGCATCCACAAGTGGGCAGGTGACGCTTTCGCTTGAAGCGACCGCACGGGAACTGCTCGAAACATCATTGAAAGCTTTTGAGAAGCTATATATTGTTATAGACGGAATCGATGAGTGTGAGGGCGACCAACGCCAACAAATCGTGTCGTTCTTCCAGAGTATATGCGATTCATTGCCCCCTGCTGATGAGGATTCGTTGCGGTGTATGTTTGTCAGCCAAGATGACAATATCGCAAGGAAACAATTCGCCAATATCTCGTCATTAAAGATTACGGAGAGTCATACAAGAAAGGACATTGTTGAGTTTGTAGCGGGAAGAAGTAAGGCCATAAAACAGAAGTTTGACTTAACTACAGACCGACAACAATGGGTACAGGATCAGGTGATGAAGAGTGCTGACGGTGAGTGCAAACCTCCCTCATACATTTACCTCTCGTGTTCTGATCGGTACAGGAATGTTTCTGTTCGCACATCTTATGACTTCTTATCTCATGGATCAAAGCTCACGAGCAGAGCTCGATAAAGAGCTCTTGCCGGAGAAGTTTCCCCAAAGCGGTACTAGACTTGAAGAGATGTATACATCACGTGGAACAATGTATAGAATACAGCTGACGTGAATAGATACTCGCGCATCATACGACGGCTGACCGCCAACCGAGGATCTTTGAGCACGAAAACTGTTCAGTTGCTAACATGGCTTGTATGTGCAAAGCGACCTCTTATGTGGCGAGAGATTCAATGTGCACTGTCAATAAATTTGGAAGACCAGACTGTGGACTGGGAGCGTGACCGGCTCCGCGTGGATTCAAAAGACTTGTGTGGGTCGTTGGTCAACATTCATGCCGATAGCACCGTTGTCATAGTCCATCATTCTGCTAAGAAGTGAGTCCTTTTGCCAGATCTGTGTACAGGGACCACGTCCAGCGTATGGGTTCTTCTCCTCGCTGCGAGTATACTAAATGTTGCAGATATCTAATTGACAAAAGTCTCGTCAACCTTGGATATGGTGAGGGTAATTTGGCTCTTCTATGCATATCGTACCTTTGCTTTGAAGGGTTTGATGTTGAAGACGATAATCGCAGCGTGCCTGATTACATCCCATCGGGATATTATGGATTCATGGACTATGCGTATGCATACTGGGCTCGTCACCTGGATGCATTCTTGCGTGGAAAGGAATCAAAAGACGCCCTAAACGAGATATCTGAAGCAGCGGAAGTTTTCATCGACATGTACTGGGCGCAGCCCCGGACCAAGTCGGTACCCCCGAAATCATTCTTAGCAAGATGGGAGGCGCTCTCGAGCAATCGCAATTTTAACAAGCTCACTATTGCTGCTCATCTCGCACAGAAACAGCTTATTGCCTCAACCGCTCACTCTTCGGATCTTCAAGTGCTCAAGCTTCACCACGCATTAAACAAAGTGCGTGAGCACCTTGAGTTGGAAAACGCTTCAGCGAATGGGGCGACGAAGTTGCAAGCAATGTACGGCGAGAATATCTTCAAATGTCCAAGGGTCAACTGTATACGATTCTACGGCGGCTTCGCATCACAACAAGAGCGGGACGACCACATAAAGAAGCACGAACGGTCCTTTTTTTGCTCTTTCCCGGGCTGTGCAATGGCCACGCTAGGTTGTAGCACACCGAGGGAGCTCCACAAGCACGAGACGGAATTCCACAAGACATTTGATTACGATGACGAAGAAGCAGAGTATCCCGAGTTGCCATCGCAGAAGGTGTCCTTTGATTGCAAAGAGTGCGATGCTAAGTTCACTCGTAAGCAAAACCTTCAGATTCATATGCGGAGTCGCCATGCGGAGAGTGGAAGCAAGCCAGCAGCCCATGTCTGCTCGACGTGTAGCAAGAGCTTTGTGAGGAAGAATGATCTTACTCGACACGTGACAACTACACACGACGATGCAAAGTCATTTGTGTGTGGCGGCAAGCTCGGTGACGGGTCTGGTTGGGGGTGTGGGCGTGTTTACAACCGTGGTGATATGCTGAAAAGGCATTGGAAAAGTACAAAGGGCAAGGTGTGCATCGTGCAGAAACAGAATGAGGAAGATGCCGACAATGCCAGCTTGAGTGCCTCATTGCAGCCCTCGGCCGCATCTACACCTCAGCCCTAAATGGGTGTGATGTAGCACATTTGTACACATGAGCTCGAGGCATAACATTGGTACGAAGGGTTCCGCAATTGACACGTTAGATTAGGCATTCGGGAAGAATTTCTCAAATTGGATGGGTTTGGATATGTGAATATCACAGATAGCGTTCGAACAAAACAAGGTTCGTGTCGCTCTATGGTTAATGCCGTTTTGCTTCCTTCTCCTTCTCCCTCTTCTTCTCTTCAATCAATGCATCCAGCCGCCAGAACGAAGTGATTCCCTCCACAAGGCAGGTGCCTACCCATTTCCACCATACTCCGTCCAAAAAGGTACATCCATGCTTGGCCAATCTCATCACCATGATAACAGCCTCAACTGAATGAATCGGAAGCATCATCATAAAGATCAGCCAGCCGTACCGAGCTACAAAGTTCGCAAACGATGGCACCATAAATAGAGCGTAATCGTAAATGGGCGAGCCAGGCTGCCAGTTCGCTGCACGAGGCAACAAAAGAAAGGCCAGCAGACACTGCGTAAAGTTCCACAGATGAGCCGGCCGTGTATATGCAGGGACAAACCGTGTAATGGAGATGTCGCTCCGGCCCAGAGTCTCCAAAGCGTCCTTGTCCATCTTTGCCATACGCTCGCGAGACTCACGCAGGGTCGTCATGGGCGGATCCAACCCTATAACAGCTTGTTGGCCACCGCAGCTGAAGACCATCTTGTCCAAGTCGATATCGATCATTTTCGCGCTGCGGCTCTGGAACATGGATCGTGAAGCATAAGCTTCGACGTATCGGCGGATCTGCGGTCGTAATCAGGAACTGGAGGGCACTCGACAAGAGACCTAGAGACGGCACGTACAGAGTCGTGGTGCTCGGTGTTCATATGTTTGACGATGCGCTGCCTGGTGGCTTCATCCGTAGCTTCCTTGGTCGCCATTATGGGCGAATTAGCGGCCGGGCTATGGGCTAGAGATGCAATTGCTCTATCGTGGGTGTTCAGCGGGCGGAGATGTGATCGTAGATTGCCCATCTCTGATCTGCAGTGACCCGGCGCTCTTCGGCCCGGTCATCGCGCGGAAGGTCATGCCGCGCCCCGCGATTGGTAGCGACGAACCAGACAACGTTTCTCGCTACCACAAAACCGCCGTCTAGCGAGCTCCCATATTGCGTTCTACAATTTTGTTTTTCTTCAGAATGAGAACATGGTGTATGTTCTGTGTAACGTTTGCCGCTTATGCTACACGGAACGGCAAAATCCACATCCGGTCAGCCGATGAGAAAGGCTGCCGATCATATTCGGACTGACGCGTTGCCATTGACATCAGGTCCAAGGAGTATGCGGCACAGTTGGCGGGGAAAAAGTTGGAACATACGCAATGGACAGGACACCCCAGTCGAGACATTCTAGGCCCCAAGACGATGGTCGCAAAGTGTGCGCAGCTGTCAGCTAGGACGATGCACGCAGGGATGGCGTCAAGTTTTTGGACGTGTTGGAACTGGTCTCGCAGTGGGGTGAGTGTAGGCGCCACATGGTGCGTCAGACTGCATGCAAAGGTGGGCCAGGTGCGGCAGGGGTAGCAAGTACCTGGGAGCCTTCAAACCGGTTCCAGTTGCTCATGCCGCCTTTCTCTTATTAACGAATTGCTCCGTGGTCCTGGGTCGTGAATTGCTATTTTTCCAAGAGTTTTGTTCAGCGTGTCATTTTTATTTTTGTTGCGCAAATACATAACATACAACCAGCAAATCCCTACCAAGGACCCCAACTACACTTTTTTTCTGAAAACCAAAGTATCACACCATGGCGGACACAGTCGAGGAGAGCAAGCAATCCATTTCTGGAGAGGGACAGGCTGATGCCAATGCTTCTGTAGGAGCAAAGGGCAGTGCGGAATCATCGAGTAAGAAAACCGAAAGGAAGACGCCGAAGAAGCTGGGCGGAAAGAAGCCTCAACAGCAGCCCACTCCTGACGCCACTCCTGCCCCTGATAGCGATGGCGAAGGGAACGCTGAGCAAGAGGACGCAGAATCAAAGAAGCAAACCAACGGCGGCGACGCCGACGACTCGGACGAACCCCAACAAGAAAAGTCAAAGTCGCAATCGAGGCGCCGCCAGTCTCGAGGCCGCGGACGACGAGGCGTGGAATCTGGCGCCGAGTCTGATGCCCGATCAGATGTCTCGCAATCCGGAGGCCGTCGTAACCGCCAGCGCCAGAAGAAGGGCGGAAAGGGAGGCGGCCCACTGGACGACATTACCGAGAACGTGCCTGGAGGCGAGCTTGTTGGCGGAGCTGGCGACATGGTCCAAAACACTGCTGGAAAGGCCGTTGGCTCCGTCGGCGATACAGCTGGCAAGGCTCTCGGTGGCCTGACTGGCGGCGGCAAAGAAGATGACGGCGGCAAAGACGGCGGTGAGCAGCTTAGGTTGCGCCTGGAACTCAATCTCGACATTGAGATTCAGCTCAAGGCCAAGATTCACGGTGATCTTACCCTTGGATTGCTGTAAGTGAAATTGTATTTTTGGTGAGATTATCTTATGCTAACGATGAACTATAGTAACTAAAAGATCTTGGGCACGACGACAAAGACTTAATGCACGGCATGTTATTGACCTGTTAGTAATTGGAACCATTTGGAAGGCGTTTATATGAACTGGGAGTTTTGCATCCAAAGTGCCCCTCCCCCTTTGTTAACCTACTCGCAGAGTGTATGCGAGTAGTGGCCTACATAGGAATTGCAAATTACATGTATATCCACACGTATTTTGGCTAGCTTAGTTAACTGGAGAGTTTTGTTTGCAGCGGTATACCAAAGTTGTTAGTGTCCGCGTAGTTAGGTAGAGACAGAGACAGAGACAGAACTATTGCAATGTTATTTTTCTCCACACCAAAGTCATAAATCTCGCGTGATGCTCTCGCCATACCTCTCGCCATGTGTCTCGCTACACTTGTAATCGTGAGACAGCGACAAGGAAGGAATCGTACACTTGACTGCACCGTGACGTCATAGCTGTAATCCATACCAAGACGCGACCTGCGGACCCCTCCAAAAAAAGTAAATCAAAGCCAAAGAACGCGTGGAAATGGCAAAATGATAAACACTATTACATCATATCTGCTCCAAAAGGGCAAACAAACCGCTCTCCCAAAAAAAAAGGTCCAGGTGCATGTTTGACGGGTTACAAGGGCAAGGAAGAAAGCCATGGGTTTTCTTCCGTTCTAGATCTACCAAACAAAAGAGAAGAGAGAGAGCGACCGAAGCTCCCCCTTCCCCCCCTAGCACTAGCCCATATGTACGTTTGCGCGTCGTCGGACTAGGATAAAATTGACATGAACCGATGCCAAAACCAACCCAGTAAAAGAGCTTCACAAGCGCAAGGTTAAAGGATAACACGTATCCATTATCGTCTCTTTCCGCATAAAACGGCATTATCCGCACAAATGATGCGGGAAGGCTGAATGGGAGAGGGCTGGCCTGTGGTGTCATGAAAGTGGGTACCATACCAAGGCGCGCCCACCTTTATTCCCGCTCTTTTGACATTGACGTCAGCACCGTTTGTTGCTGTGGGGAAGGAGCAAGGGTGGAAGCTTGCTTGGGTTTTTTTGTGGGCTAGAGAGAGAGAGTAGCTTGCGTGGGTCGGGTTGATGGGGATGAATTCTTGTTTTTTGGGTGGTTGCGGAAAGCAGGCTTGGTGGGTGGAAGGGGTGGTGCCAGGGCAGGGCCTTGCGTGTGGTGGATTGCGCTGATGCATGGGGGGCGGCGGGGTGGGTTTTAGGCTGACCTTGCTGGCCTGGCTGAGCTGGACCCGGTTGGTAGTGTATTGCTCTGGTCTGCTCTCTCACTCTTCTCTTTCCACTACTCTATTCTACTTACTACCTTGGAACTTTTGTTTGACTTGAATTCCTAATTCCCTAACCCCCCCACCCACATCCGCCAATTCCCCTCCTCCCCTACTGTCCCATAAGGATCTGATTTCTTCGTTTCCCCTTCCTTTTACGGGATACTATACAACAACCACACACCTAAACACCCAACCTACCATTGCATGATCGCGCGTCTCCCGCCCGACATGGCCGACAAGAACCAGAACGACTACTCGGACTCTGAGCCGCACGAGCGCTCGACCATGGCCCAGCAAAAAGCCATCAACAAAAAGAAGCAAGAGCGACGCGAAGCCGGTCTCCAATCCGCCCGCTCGCGCTCCTCATCGCGCCGTGCCCGCCGCGCCCGCCTCGAGGAAGACAAGAAGAACGGAAAGTACATGCACACGACGCCGCTCGAGGTGCTCGAGGAGGCCGATGCAAACGGTGACCTGCAGAAGATGGGCATGTTTGAGCGTATCGGGCCCGACAGCACGTCCATGGATGGTCCTGTTACGTATGCGCGTGCGATGCGTGGTGAGATTCCTATGCGTGGCACGAATCCCAATGAGCCGTTTCGCATGGAGCCGGAGAAGGGCGGGAGTGAGTTGAAGGATCAGGATGGATTGAAGTTGACGCTTGAGGCAAATCTGGAGATTGAGATTGAGCTCAAGGCGAGTATTCGGGGGGATTTGACGTTGAGTTTGTAGTAAGTTCCTTTCCCCTGTTTCCTTCTCTTTCTTGCCTTTTTTTTCCTCATATACCCTTGTTCTTTATCACATATACCCTTTTTTTTCTTTTTGCTTTCTCCCTTTCAGTTCTACACTTTTCGCTTCTCGTTCCTCCTCTTTTTTTTGTTCGCTTACATGGAGAGCCAATATACATGCCATGTATACGGACTTGCACGAAAGAGCAACAAAAGAAGAAGAAGAGAGAGAAAAAGCGAGGGAAGCGGTCTTTCTCACCACGCACACACACGCATCCACAAAGCATTTGGGCAAAGACAAGATGCTAATTGGCCTCTTTCAACAGCCAATAACATAATTGCCTCTTTTTGTGTTTCCCCCGCTTGCGGAGTTGTGTCGAGAAACGTCTGTTGCCTCTCTCTCTTTTCTCTCTTCATCGTGGCAGCCAGTCTTTGAGCGAATGGTGTTTTGCGGCTTCCTCTCTACCACCACCTATCTCTTCTTCACCGCATTTCTTACTCTTTTTTGAATTCCTTTTTCCAAACATGCCAGCGGTTCTGGCCTGCAATAGTAACTGAACTTAACAGTGAATAGTGCTTGAATTTCGAGAAATCCTACAATCGGCATTCAATCAGCGTTTTTGGATTTTTTTCTTGAGAGCCATATTACTTTTCTTTTCCCAAACAAACGAAACTGGGAAAAAGATTTTATGAGACGATTGCGGCGGATTCACGACCCTTTACTACACCTAGGGGAGGCGTATATGAGAGGGGTGATTGCCGCCTTTATGAAGATGAGAAGAAGAAGAAGAAGAAGAGGAGGAGGAGTGGAATATAAAGAAACTTGCACTTTGATCTGAGCGTTTGAGGAGTTTACTACTAGGGAAATCATTTTTGTCTTTCTGGGGGCTATCATATAGCATTTGTGGAAAGAAGAGAGAAATATCGATATAATGATTACATGTGACGATGGCTCCTTTTGTTGTTTCTCGAGTCGTCTGATTCTGTTTCCGGTATCAAGGTTTGTTTGTTTGTCGTTTCCTCGATAAAGAATGGGCGTGTAGGTTGAGTGATGTTGCAGAGTCGAACATATTGACAGGGATGCAGTTTGGTAAGGACCGAGACGGCGACATTGCTTTGGCCATGGCCAGGGGGGAAGAAAGGGATGATCTTTTTCAAGGGTGGAGTTGAAGCAAGTCTGGTGTAGGCACGGATATGCACAGTAGGGTTGCGGGAGGAAAGTGGGGTGGTGATGGTAGCAAACGGCACGGGACGTGGTATCGACACCAGGAAACAGGGTATGATCACGTGACGTATATACTTATCGTCGCTAGTGATTTGTGCAGCATGACTAGATATTGGCTATAGATTTCTGTTGGACTTGCTGCAAATAAATTAACCAATGATTGAGTAGACATGGATCTGAACTCGTTCAATTGGAGCAGTGTCCTGTTCAAGCAGAAACCTTGTATCGAGTACTTTTGTCAACTTCCAATGAAGAGCGTTGAGTGTCATACTCGCTCTAGCGGTACTAGACTAAAAAGGCAATGTGGGATGAGCACGTTAGTCCGTTGCTTATTCGCAATGCCACCTGTCAATGTGAGAGTCGAGTTCTCGCTAATTGATCAGGCTAACAGCGGGGAGCTGAGTGGAATAGAGTTCGCATGCGCTCGTGTGATAACGAGTAGCTTGGCAGGAACTCTGCATCTCATTTGAGCTTGGACTACAACACGATTGGTGCAGAAGTTGGGGTAAGGCGGATGCAGATGGGAAAGTATTGAGCTAGTATGTGATACTGCACATGTGTAGCATCTTGCAATGCACAGATGCATGCCGTCATGTATAAACTTTATCGGCACGTGCAGGCATGTTGAAAAGGGAGTGGATCGATGTGAATAGACGCATACGTACTCTTCCATCGGATGGCCAAAAACAGATGGAGCGAGCAAAGGGGAGGTGAAAAGGGAAAGAGGAGGGGTGTGGGTGGATCTGCATGGATGTGAATAGATGTAGATGGAAGGCGAGTCAGGAGGGAGGAGATCGTGGATGTGGAAGGTGAGGCGTTGATGGGCAAGGGCAAGGGATGCAAGAGGGCAGGAACGGTGGGTATCAGCAGCGCCAGCACAGAGAGAGGTCTGGATGCTCGGGCAAAAAAGCACGTGAAGATGGTACTTAGTCCGTAGATGATGAGGGCGCAGTGACAGACAAGAGGTGACAAGTGCCAGTGCCAGTGCCAGTGCACGACGCGGGTCGGGGAGAGGCCAAAAGGTTCCGAAAGTGACAGGGCCGGGCAAGGGCACCGGTTGGATGGGAGGGAGGGAAGGGAAGCAGTTGGGATGGGGAGGCCCAGGCCAACCTTGCGCGGGGCAGGCGGAAGAGACAGCTCGGTCGGCGTGGGTTCGGAGGGGAGTGGATGACGAGTGTTTTCGGATTACGAGGAGTTGGAGATTGCAATACCAAGACGGCCACTGCTGGACAAGTCGACACCGAGTCAGGCCGCTGCTGTCCGTACGAAGTGTGCTAGCATGCACCGTCTACCAAGGTACGGACGTAGCAGTACAAGTATAGCACCTTTCTTACATGTATGCCCGTAAGCATGGCCCGATAGTTATCAAACGTGGGCCGAGGCTAGATAGCACACGGTTTGTTGTCCAGCTACTAAGTTCATGTATGTGTGTACGTACTCTACTGTCTCTAAGTACTCCACGTCCTACTAGATGCATCCATAATGGAGGGAGGGGTGGAGGCCCGCCGATCGCTCGGAAATATGGCTGCAGATCAGTGCAGCACTCGATACACACACATGCAAGACGTCTTTTTTTTTTCTCCGACTGCCATGTCCAAGACTCTCGACACGCCGCTTTCTTGGATAGTACGCGGCTTGCACAGGTCCGGCTTCTTTTCGACCGTCAGCTTAAAAAGCCTCGGTCCGGCGAGCGTTGCCCCACCATGGACGTAAGTATACTTAGTATGTAAGTACGTTGTTCATGTATCAGTGTCCTTGTCACTATCCTTGCCCGTGACCCTGTCGGCGGGGAACAGGCCATGCAAACTGACGACTCGAACTCGGGTGATGCAGCAACGCATAGCATAGTTGAAGCTTGCAGCACATCGAAGCTTATTATCAGCCTGTTGGAGGTGTTGGGGTAGCCCATTTCGGCCAATCCCACGCCTGTCCTCGACACACACAGCCTCTACCACTGCCTACAAACACCCAGGGGCAGGGACGTGTTGCGGCCCGCAAGGCCCGACCGTATTGTGTCCTATCCTCGTGTTTGACAGCCATCCAAGGGGCAGTGCTCACACGTGTGGTTAGCTAATCATAGCATCAGCAGGTGCCACGGGTGCGGTGGTGAGCAGAGGGGGGGTAAGAATACGTGCAGCGTGTCCATATCCTACCATGCATGTATGTAGTAGCAAGTATGTAGGAATATACAAGTAAGTATGCATCCAAGCCATGGATGGGCGGCCTAATGTGGAGAGAATGGGCTATCGGGGGCGGAAGCTAAGCACTCGGTACGCGCACAAGTGGATTGGATGGCCGAGCGAGACCCTGCCTTGCCTGCCTCTTTGCCCAAGCGACTGCGACTCTCTCCCCGCCGAATCCACATACACACACTCACACACGCCCACACTCATCTCTCGCCCTCCCAAACACGCGGGCACCACTCAACACCCACCCATCTACTGCATCCTCCCTCTCCCAATAGCCCCTTGGGCTCCTATCCACCCCCCACCCTGTTCCCCACCCTCGCACACGCCCCCGTCTTCTGCTCGGCACACGCGCGCCTCCAATGTCCCAACTGTGCCTGGGGCTTGTCGTCACGCCCGCATCCACGTCGTCGTACAGGCCATTGTCTGCGCACACCCGTGTCGGTTGAGCGCCCTGCCTCTGCGTCCCCACCATATCCACCATGCCCGCCACAGGAGGAGGACGCGCTGCCCACCCCCCGCCTTCGACGATGCATTCCTCGCGCAGAGAGAGTAGTGCCATGGCCCCTTCAACCCAGCGCCCGGGCATCAAGACACGCGCCTACTCGGCTCCCAACGTGCCCAAGTGCGATAGTGACGTTAGCACCGACTCTCCACGCACAGACGACGACCAAGAAGGCGAGGAGATTGCCGACGATGCCTTTTTCCAGCGATACCACTTCCCCCAACCCGTTCCCATAGCCCAGGAAGAAGAGGCCGGCAGCAGCGCCGAGTCCTCGTCCGACACCGAAGGCCCACTTTCTCCCACTCATGTCAAGGATCGTAGCCAAGCGGGCGACTCCGTCTCGGAGCCATCTACGGGGGTGAGTTGTGATTTTTTTTTCCTCCCTCTCTTTGGTTGTTGTTATTGTTGTTGTTCTACTGTTGTTGTTGTTGTCATGGTGCTAGCGTTTCCACGGCGCAAAAAAAAGAAAAGAGGGAGGAGATCCAAAGTCAGACGAAGAACAACGGAGATTGAGCTTGGGAACAACACAAATGGGAAACCATCAAAAAAATAAGCCTCCCACAAAAAAACTTTAAACTGGCTGACATTGTGATCATCTAGTCCGCCAACAGCGACTCAGCCGCCACCACCATGCAAGACCTCAACATTGCCGTTGTGGGAGTGCGGGGTTCAGGCAAATCTACCTTTGCCCGACGCGCACTCGGCTTGCCCGAAGCTGCATCCGCAGGCAATTGCTCGCGCAGAATGACCATTGATGGCACCATCTATGTAGTCCGCTTGGTCGAAATGACCTTCACCGACGTGCAACTGGGCGAGCGCGGGAACATCAAGTGGCCAGACAGCACCGACGACTTTGCCACGCCTCGTATCCACGCCGCCGTTATCCTCTACGATGTTACAAACCAGGAAAGCCTGGCTAACGTGCCTGAAATGCTCAGTTAGTGCCCGTTCCAACCCGCCCACGAGGTGCCTCCGCTCCTGCGTCGTGCTAACCATGTTCGCAGATACGTTCAACAAGGTCCAACTGCCGTTCATCTTGGTTGCATGCAAATGCGATCAACACCCCGCTCACCGCGAGGTCGATCCATCCGTGGTGGAGCACAAAGCAAAGTCCTTCATTGGAGACGTGAGCGTGTTTCAGACCTCCGAATCGTCGCCGGAGGCGCACCGAGCATGCCTGTCGGTCATCACCCGCGCAGCAATAGCGGCCAAGCGACGTAAGTAATTCATTTCCTTTTTTTCCTTCCCTGACAAGCCCCCCCGTGACGTGTCGAGCGCGTCCCCCCCCCCCCCCATGGCCAGCATTTGTCGTGCCTATGCACAAGGATGCAAGTCATTGACGTACTTCAGCTCCCTCGCAGGCCTCGATGGCGCGGCGCCGGGCCAATTCTTCCGCAGTACAGTCCAAGACCCAAAAGGACCTTTGGAGCCGCAAACACGAGCGTGCTAGCTCGGAAATCTCTCTCAGGTTTCAACGTAAGCCTAGCGAGATCAAAGGCCACCGTTATAAGCCCAGCGACGTCAACAAAACCTTCTTCAACGCCGACGAGTCGCCCGGCTACGACTCGCAGGATTCCGATGATCAAGATTCGGATGCTGGCCAAAGCATCATGTCGGTGAAGCCCTCTGACGAAAATGGCTACACCTTTGAGCAGCTCGTCGACCGACTACTGGCACAGCCAATGTCCAAGAATGACACCAAATTCGTCTCCGTCTTCCTCGCCCTGTACCGGAGGTTCGCCACACCGGGCCAGCTCCTCGAGGCCATTATCAAACGCTTCGAGGCTCTCAATAAGGAAAAGGACCTACCCATGATCCGCATCATTGCTCAACTCCGCTACCTGACCATACTACACCAATGGGTTGCCTACTACCCTGGTGACTTTGCCTACCCCACCACCCGCCGCTTGATTCGACGATTTGCTTCCTCATTGGCCTCGAACCGTGAATTCTCCGTTGCCGCAACCGAAATCCTCCGCGATCTGGAAATGGTCACCGAAGATGACGACACCGACTGGGCCTGCAGCGATCGCCAACGGATGCAGAATGAAAACATACCCGCATTCCACAACAACGTACTTGACGAAGACTCGGACGAAGACGAATTCTCAAGAGCTTTGGGCCACATGTCCATGGACGACTCCTCGCGAAACTCCATAGCCCGAAGTAGTTTGACTGGCGGCGCCCCATCTACAAATGAGTCCATGGGCTCATCACAGACCCTCATCACCCAGGTCGAAAAGAACGAACGTCTTGCCCGACAACTCGAGCCCAACCCTGTCAAACCCCTATCAAAGATACAATGGCACCAGTTCATGAATGAGCCAGAGGATGCCATTGCCAGAGAATTGACCCGCATAGATTGGATCATGTTTTCCTCAGTCCGACCACGAGATCTTGTCCGCCACGTAATCCTCAACAACGACGAAAAGAAGAGATGCAAGAACCTCGAAAACGTTACGCGCATGACCGAACATTTCAACTACATTGCACTACTCGTCACAAACTACATCCTCCTCCGCGACAAGCCCAAACACAGGGCACTAATGATGGAGAAGTGGATGAAGATTGCGCGGCAGCTTCGCAAGCTGAACAACTACAACATGCTGGGTGCTGTCATGGCTGGCATCAAGGGCACAGCTGTTATCCGCCTACATGCAACCAAGGACTTGGTTCCACAGGCCACGACTCAAGATTTTTGGAAATTAGACATTTTGATGAGCCACACCAAATCACACGCCGCATATCGACTGGCATGGGACAATAGCTCAGGAGAACGAATTCCGTACATTCCGCTACTTCGCCGCGATCTCGTATCCGCCTCCGAAGGCAACTCAACATTTATTGGCGACAAGAAGAAGACGGACTCAGCCTTGGCACCACATCCAGGTGTCAGCGTCTTCGAGGCCGCTGGAGGAAAACGCGACAGCCGAGAACCATTGCCAGGGGGAGTTGTTGGCAAGGAGAGGATCAATTGGCGCAAGTTTGAGATTATGGGCGAGGTCATTGTCGGCGTGCAACGCGCCCAGGGCACGCCTTATCCAAACTGGCAAAAGTGCGAAGAAATTCGGACCCTGATCCTCGACGTCAAGATCAACAAGGATGAAGAAGTAAGTAACGCACCCTAGACTGGCGTAGTGTCAGGCAGCTAAGAAATCGCACTAGGAACTTTGGGAACGTAGTGCCCACCTCGAAGCCCAAGGAGCCAATGAAAAGGGTAGAATAGCTCGATGGTTTCGAGAGCGTTAGTGCCTCTTTCTTTCCTATTGTCTGCTTGCAGGCGTGTCACATTTTTTTTTCATTCTTAAACTTGGCGATGAGAGCAGAAAAGCTAAGCCAAGGACTTTTAGCTGGGCGTATATCTTTGCCTTCAATGCCTTTAGCGTTGACGTTGACCCACCCGGCGATAGCGGCAGCAACAGCATCAGGCACCTAACACACACAAACACCTAACCCCTATGCGTGCATGCAACAAGGCATTGAGCCACAGATACCCAGCAGCAGCACCATCTCATCACCGCCATCGCTTGCATACTCTTTCGACAACGACAATGATTGCAAAGACGCCGCGCCGACTACTCTGATTCGTTTGTTTTTTTTCTTTCTGAAAGACATTTGCGCCATCTCCCTCTCTCTATATATCTCACCTGCCATATATACCCATCTCTGTTCCACCTTGCCCTTCCCCCCCCCCTCCGACACTACCAAAAGGTGGGGGTGATTGGGGGGACGGCATTTGTAACGACATGTACCTGTGTTTTTTTTCTTGCTCTTTTTTTTCTACCAAATTACGAAGCATCTTGGTAGCCCTTGGTCTCTTTGTTTTCTTTCCTTTCTCTGTTTTTTTTTGTGGGCAACCCTGCACGATACCTCTCTTTGTCTGTCCTGTCCTGTCTTGTCCGTCCTCTTTGTCTACTTACTTGTCGGTCTCTCGAAAATCTTCCACTTCTTGTCTCTAGATATCCATGGACGTGTTTTCTTTTTTTTGTACGTACTTTTGGATTTCTTTCACCACAAAGTATATCCACATGATAAACCAAATGAGGTCTTTCGTTCATGATGCCTTTTTGCGTGTGCCATGTGTGGACTTTTCTTTATGGTTGGGGTTTCGAGTATGTGTCTGACGTCTACTGGATATCTAGTGAAGAAGTCCTTTTGCCTTGTTTTTCATACTTTGTTGGATAAGGATATACGGAGGTGTGTGTTTTTCTCCATCCCAGGAAGGGACAGAGACTCAAGGGAAAAAATATGTTGGTTGGGATCTACATATAAAAAAAACGGGGGGGGGGGTTTCCATCGGATCAAGCTGGGCAAAACTGGCTTCGTTTCTTTTTACCTTGTTTCTCTCTCGCTCTCGGATTTTCTTCTTGATGAGCAAAGCTACTTTTGAAGTGGCTCGCTTTTTGTTTTGTATCCTGTTAGTGGCTCGATACGATGGTATTGAGGAATCCAATAGTCTCTGTTCATGACCTTGTGCGCTGCTTTTTTTTGCTTGCTGGAATCATGACATGCTTGCTTGAGGGGATATGTTAGACACATGTCATGCCACGACAGCGAGTCACTTGATGGAGAGTAGAAAGAACCAATGCATGGTACATGTATTATTCATCTTGCATATGTAGCCTTATAGTATGCTATGTTGGGGACTCGAACGCCATGATGCATCTATTTGTTCAGCTCCTCAGCCCTCTTCTTCAGCTCCTCCTTGCTCGCGGGCTCGGGCAGGTTCTGGGCAATGACTGGGCCCTATACATACGTATCTTGTTAGCCTCATGAACATATCGCTTGCTCTACCAAGTCCTTGTGAAGCATAGTTTATCGTACCTTTGACTTGAAAGCCTCAGCATGTTGCATATTGCCCGTGTCGTGCATGCCGTGCGACGAAGCCGTCGAGTCCGAAGACTCCTTTGCGATCTTATCGGTGATGCCTGCAGCAAGGTGGAGAGTTAGATTTGCTTTGTGTGTTGACAAAACACTAGGTTAGAGAAGGGAAGACTTACTACCAGGAGCAGACTCTTCAACAGGGTGGTCAGGCATTTTCACTTTTGCTTGTCGGATTTCTTTCCTGCAAGGACTTCTGGGCCGCCAATGTACAAGAACTCGGCTACGTAGGCGTTGACTTTGTCTTGCTCTGTCGTCTCCTCGCTCACGTCGAGCTTCTGGATGTCGGTGGCTAGGGTTGCGGTCTCGGTGTCTGTGGGTTCGGTTTGGCTCTGCAGGTATTGCAGAAGCGCGTTGAAGTTTGGCGGTTGTTTTTGTTGTTGCGAGTCAGATGGAGAGGCCATGGTGGACAAGGGGAATGATGCGGGTTATGTAGGCGGCGAAGTAGCGGGAGCGTGATCGGTGACGTAGGTGTGAGGGAGGGTGAGATAGGAGAGCGGGGAGCTTGCAGGTGCGGTTGCAGTTGCAGTTGCAGTGGTGATGGGCGGAGGGCTCCGTTTGGGTTAGTGCGGGGTAGGTCAGTGGATAGTCTTCTAGTAGTATGTGCTACGTAGGTAGTTGGGGGCCCTTGGAATCAAAGCCTAGAATCCAAGGTGTGACGAGGCAGAGTAAGGCTACAATGATCTAGCTTGGAAGACTAGAATGTACTCGCCCCACGTGCCTAGTTCTTCCGAACTAGGCCCTACCCAGCTCAACGTCAACCACCAGCTCAACGTCAATTTTGCTACCCCCCACCACT